GAAGGAGTGGGTTAGAGGGGGCAAGGTAGGTCAGAGGTTGATTTGTAATCCAAGAGATATTGAGGAAGGAGAAGAGTTAGAAGAACGCGAAAGAATCGGTAAGGGATGCCAGAGGTTGATTTATAACCCCAAGGAGAAAGTAAGGGAAGGAAGAGGGAGAGAGAGTAAAACGAAGGTAAAACGTGTTGAACTGAAGGGAAAAGAATTGTAATAACGATAATGATGATATTTGTGTGGTGATGATGGTTGTGGTAGTAATAATAATAAGGTTGGTGTTGATGATAATAATGTTAATGTGGTGAGGGTTATGGTTGTGGTGGTAATGATGATGATGGTGGTAGTAATATTTTTGAAAGTTATACTTGACCAAGGACTAGAAAAGGGTGTATGAAGGTTGATTGAGTTCCACTATAATAAAGGACAAAGGGTAGACAAACGGTAACGATGTTTGAATAATTCATCCCATCTGATACAGATAGATACAAACTAAAAAATCCAATCTTTAAACAGGTAAATAAGATCATCCTTGACAATGGCTGGCGTTGTCTAGATTGTACCCTGTGTGAAGGTTGTGGAAAAGGCAGCGACGAAGCACGGCTATTACTGTGCGATGGCTGTGACATCAGCTACCATACGTACTGTCTGGACCCGCCGCTTGAAAAGGTTCCTCAGGGAGGATGGAAATGCAAATGGTGAGAATATCTATTTTAATCAGTCAATAGACATTTTTCGAGTTCCAAATTACTGCTGTATTCCTTGATTGCAGATGCATTTACTCAGGGTTAGACTCGAATCAGTGTCTAAATATTAACAAATTCCAACGGAAAAGTAAAGAATGCACAACTTCAAAAATACAAACAATACTAAAACTCGACGGACCTTGACTGAAACGCGTGAATATTCTGCATAAAATCAAGGCTAAGCCTGAGCAACAGAGAACTCGAAACTGGCGTATTATCAGGAGATTTGCATATAATTTCATTCCCTTGAGTATTAATTCTTTCTCTTCACTAGGTGTGTGACATGTTACGACTGTGATACCTTATCACCTGGCAAGGAGTGTGAATGGCAGTCCAATTACACTCAGTGTGGACCTTGTGCCAGTAAAATCACGTGTCCTGTCTGCAACATCAAGTATAATGAAAATGATCTAATGATTCAGTGTCTAAACTGCGATAGGTAAGGAAATTACACTACGATCTCTATTAAGCGACCGTTCTTTATTTAACGGGCAACCTGCATAAAGCGACCGTTCTTTATTTAACGGGTAACCTGCATAAAGCGGGTAACCTCTTATGATTGACCAACTTTTATTGAACGGACAACCTCTTTTAAGCAGGCAACCTGTATTAACCTGCCAACCTCTATTTAGCGGACGTTTGTCTAAGTCCCAAACAATTAAAAATAAACGTCTATTGTTATTTTTTTGCAGATGGCTGCATGGTTCCTGCGATAAACTGTTGACCGAGGATGAAGTAGACAAAGCTGCCGAATATGGTTATCACTGTTTGTTTTGTCGGCCGAAAACTAAACGTGCACTAGTGTGCTTGAGTGGTACGTCCACCTCTTCTACAACTTCTTCATCTCCGTCAACTGCACGCTCTCTCTCCTCCTTCTTCTTTACCACTTCTGGTACGAAACCTCTAGGTTAGTACCCAGATCCCACCACGTCATGCACATTGTACAGTGGTTGATCACTTCATGAAAGCTGTATGGCTGTGTTGTTGTCTTGTTGTCATTCGTCAAGGAAGCCATATGTTCGCACCAATACCACCGACAATAACCAGCAAATAAACCGAATGACTGAGCAAACAAACAAAAATTAGACAAACAAACAAGGGAACAAACGTAATAAAGCAACACCAAGGTCATCCAGTCATCCAACTGAGCAATAATCCAACCAAACATACGAACATACAGCTCTCATAATCCAACCAAACATACGAACATACAGCTCTCATAATCCACCCATCCAACCAAACATACGAACATACAGCTCTCATAATCCACCAATCCAACCAAACGTACGAACATACAGCTCCAATCATCCAACCAGCCAAATATACTAACAACCAACTTACCAACCAACCAAACAAACGAACGAACAAACAAAAAAGATCATTTGTGTCGCCGATTTGTGTTGTTTTACATAAAATTCTTTCGTGGCGTTTTTCTGATGTGTTTTCTTCTTGTCTTGTGTCTTTGTTCTTTTGCACTTTTCTTTTAATTGTTTTCTTTCTTGTCTTTTTTTTTTGTCTTCTTTTTTTTTATAAGCTTTCTTTTTCTTTATTTGTATTTTTATTGCATGGTACATAATGCCTATATATTTTTTTACTTATATATACTTATCGTTTATCACAGTAACATAATCTATTCCAACTGTATTGAGACGTTTCTTACTGTCATTTTATTTGACCAATGATAGTAGTGACCTAGACACTGGGCATCGCAAGTCCATTCGTTTCTTTTATTTTGACTTTGGAAAGCATATTTTTGTGGAATGCATCGCATCTTGTACAGAATTAAAATAATCTAGGAATTGCCCTCATGGCTATCGAATGAACTAGGGATAAGATGGACTGTCTGTAAAAAACTTATAAGTTTTCAAATGTCCCCCCCCCCCAAAGGTTTTTAGTGTTTTGGAATGAAAAAATGATGCTTTAGTACTAGGCTAAATACCAATATCGGGCAATATTACGTTGTTTTCTTTTTTTACCGGGCGAGGCCATCAAATGTACCTCATTTTCGCCTCTTCACATAGTCCACCGAACGCCTAATCGGCAAAAAAAGCGATTTTGAAAAAATAAAAAGCTGTTGAACTTTTTAATGTTATTTTTGAAAATAGTTCAACAAAGGGGTTCTATTGGGGAAATTAAAGTAATTCGATTTTTTGCAACTGTCGGCCGATTCTCGAGATTTACAGAAAGTCGCTCTCAATTCTCCTCAAAAACTCCTTGATCAAATGACTTCAGTCAATGACGTATATCTTAGAGGAATAGGTTGCGTATAGTAGTATTAACAGTTGTCTGATTAGTTATTTTCCCTCACTTGTTTCAAGGGCCCCCGTCACCAAGAGCAACAGCATTGCATCATTACCGACCTCAATTCTCTTTAGAAAACCATCCGCCACAGCCTCAAGCCAAGCCTATCCATCCATGTCAGCGGCTAACTAACAATGGGATAGTAGAAATGAAGCTTTCAAATCATTTTGGACGTGCAAGTCTGGCAATCGCAAATCAATCTATCACCGAGAACGAGAACTTTCTCTTGACTGACAGTGGGCTGAAGCAGATGAATCGATTGAAAATATCAGCTTACGGGAGAAGAAAAGTCAAAAGTAAAGCCAAAATGAAATCAAAGAAGCTTGGCATGGGAAATGCGTCGGATGTTGTCAACAAGATGGAGGTGATGAGTCCAGAACACGAAGGGTCGAAATCTTCTGAATTCGATGAGAACACCATGGTCTGTAAGGGTGACCTGGATCATAAACCAGGCCGTGCCAAAACCACAGCTCGGTCTGGTATTGGTGGTTTTCTTGTTAAAGGTCGTGGGGCAGGTGCCAGGAAGTTTGCTGGTCGAGGCTCGAAATTAGCAGGAAGAAAGAAAGATCGTCAGATCTTGAGCATGTCAAGGGGTCAAGCTGTTCGACAACAGGTATGTATGGTAAAGACCTAGGCGTTAGAGAGAGGAAAATGAAATAAATGCATTTGCTGTAATAGGCCATTTGTGTCAAACAGTCACGTGCTGATATATCACTTTGATAACGAATCAATTCAGCTAGAGTTCCCTTGGGGAAGGCTCTGCTGGATGGCAAACAAACTCGAAAGTATCTTGTAAGGGGAAAAAAGCATTTCGGAAAAGGTTTTGAATATGGCATTAGTAATACAGCAAAAGTTATCTCTTAAGATGGCGCCGTGGACTGTGAAGGGGACTCTTGATATCCAGTGTGTTGAATGAAATTTGATTGAAAAGTTGTAGGATACAAAGTGTTGTCTAGACTTCCAAGAATTATTTCGTAATAAAAGATAGGACTCAATTAGTAACACCGTTTTTAAAACACGCTGCACAGAACATTGAAACCCCAACCTTATTCTAAAGGAGTTATTGGGAGGAGTTAAGATAAAGATACTCCTGATTGGGTGTGTGTCTGTTTTCTTAGTCTTCGTTTGGTGGATCTATCAACGCAAATGTGAATTTGCCAAACTTTTTCGCCCAGCAGCAGACCTCTCTGGAAGCAATCATGGATTCATCGAGTAACGAAGCATGGCCAGAAGATTCTGATCGATTGCCACTTCAAGAAGCTTATCCTGATTGGATGCAGGTTTGTCTTAGAGGAGTTTTTACGTGTTATGTTGTTGCAAGGACTTCCAAGAGGGACAGGGGCTTGGGGCGGCATAAGCTAGTGTCCTTTTGGTATCATCCTGTTTCAGCCCCCTCCCTCGCCATATTCAGGCGAACATATATCTTTACTTCCTTGCCATTTTTTGTATTGACTGTATTTCAGTACACTATTGTCGTATTACAAATAGATTGATCTCCTTTTAATGTGGTTTTACGCTCAATTCCAGGAGGCATTCTTTGGCAAGAGTCTTCTGCAACCCACATCGAGAAAGAAAAAACCCAAACAAGAACCAGAAACGCCGACAACTCCGTCTGAAGAAGATGAAAAAGGGTTGACAGAGCATTCTAAGAGTCAAGGTAACATTCAACGAACAGGATATCCTGGAACACAAGGCTATTCGTTCTCTGGGGTTCATGGTGATAATCAGCTTCATTCCCGAGGTGCTCCGCATCAAAACCAACAAGAGGTCTATAACCGACCAGACCAGGCATCCACATCCCATTCGGTCATTGGTCTAGAAGGAGGAGAAAAGTAAGTATAAGGTTTTGTGTGCCTTTTTTTGTTAGTGGAAAAAAGTGCCAATGTATCCCTTAGTACAGAGTCTTTGTTCTGGGGAATAACCGTTATCAATATTGTATAAAGTTTTGCCTTGTCAGTGGAAAAAAGTGCAAATGAATTCCCGTACAGTTCCTTTCCATCCCCCGGTTACCTTTAGAGTCTGTTCTGGGGACCTAGCGTTATCAGTATTGTATAGAAGTTTTACTGGTCTTGTTAGTGGAAAAAAATAGTACAATGCCAGTGTGCACCCCCTTATAGCTCTTCCTCCCTCAGCTAACTTTAGAGTCGTTCTGAGGACTCGGCGTTGTCAGTTCATAATCTGAGTTTTTTTCCTTTATTGATTTCCGATTCTTCGGGTTTTTCTTCACCTGCATCCTCATTTTCATCTTTGACTCAATCGTGTTCAAACTTGGACAGGCTGGGTGACTAGTTTGTCTGTATGTTACAGCTATCTAAAGGAAATAATTCCGGCTTTGTTTCTTTCTGTAGTTGGCAAGGCTCAAATGTGGAGGGACTTCCAGCAGATCCTCTCAGCCTATCTGAAGAATTCCCCAATCCAGACGTTCTATACAGGAGTTTGGACATGCTGAATGAAGACATACCATCCTCTGTGCAGGTCGGCCAGACCGTATCCAGAGGTAAATACCCACTTGACTTACGATATGGAGATGGTATATGGATGGAACAGACATTACATCCATGTAACAGTAATATATGAATAGCACTTATTTGTACTAAATATGCATACGTTGCATTATTTCTACTATTTAGTGCAAAATTTGCACCCTTTTAGAATCAGGGACAAATAAGGATTTTATTCTTTTATTACCTACTCCAATGTTTGGATCATATTAGAGAAACCATTAACGCATCGCATATCCATTCGCATCACATGTACAAAGCGAAAATGCAGCTTTTGTGACCGTTAAAAAGATAATTACTGATGCTTGTGGCTACTGTTTGTGTTCAGGAATGGAGCAGGACCAATCGCATCTCTCAGGTGGTTCATCACAGCCCAACCCTGGCCCAACCACCTCTAGTGTGTCGTCATCTCAGCTTCAACCTCCAGCCCGCGGACAACAAGGTGAACTTGATCTTCTCTCAGCTGCTATTGATATTCTTCCCCACGTTGATGGCCAAGAGGTCGAAGACATATTCGCTGATATTGAGATGGAGATGAAAAGCCGAGATGCAGTATACAGTGGAATCGGTGGACCAGGTCAGAGCTCAATACCACCCCAAGTACCACGATCGAATACCGAACCACGAGTGCCCCCGCCTGCCTACCAGACTGGACACCAAGATCTACATTCATTCCAGCAAGGACCACACCCTCAGCCTTTGGAACCCGGACTTACCCATTTTCCTCACTTTGGTCAGGACCGTGAAAACTTTCATGGACGGCATGACATCAGGAACCAACATGCGCTTCCTGGACAGTATGGTTACGAAGGCGAGCACGATTTTTCCAAGAAAAGTGACGTTGACCTTGCAAGTGATTTGCCTCGCGATCCAAGACCTCCAAGTCCTCGAACTGATCCAATGAAACAGCAACAGAAATGGCAAGAGGATGAAAAATTAGGTGAAACCGCTACGATATCCCCTGTTTTGTACGCCAATCTGGAACACGCCAACCTACAAAAGGAGTATCCTGGTATATAAAATATTAATTTTTTGACGAGCTACTTTCAATACCTTTAGTTATATTTATTGTTAAGGTCCAGCTAGTGCTTTAGTTGGGTTTTGTAAACGCGCTTTCAGTTAATTGCGAGCGGCCAAATTGAATGAGTTTGAATCGGACGTCTAATTTAATGGAATTCAATCGACCTCGAAGGCAATATTGGGTGCAGCAAAAGACGGACGACTGAACTGGATCTAAAACCCCATAAAATAAAGAATTTTGAAAGATTTTTGAACTTTTGGTCATGATACACGAAAATTTATATATTCATTGATTCTTAAACTTTTTTCCAAAGACTGGCCAAACAGGTACCGAGCAATTGCAAGACTGTGGCGTAAATTGACTGTTGAGCAAAGAGATCCTTTTCGGGTATGTAGATTAATCCTTACAATAATTATGATCATAAAGTACTCTCATGGTTGTCTTGCGTTACCTATTGTCGGTTGTTATTCCACGTTACTCTTACCAGTAGTCTTATAAAGTCGTGTTTTACTTTCCCAGCTCAAGGCGCGAGACAATCGAGTAAAGCTAAAAGATCAAGGAAAAAGAGTAAGTGATCTTGCATGTCAAGTTAACAAATCTGTCCTCTTATTGATCATAGATGCCTGACGTCTTAAAATGTTCAAAACTCAAGTGGAATCACAATCGCAACAAATGGTTTCACTGTAAAGTTTTGACGCCATCTAAGATCAATAAGAGGACAGTCAATAAAAATATATGAATATATATTGGGTTTTTTTTTTTCAATAACAAAATAAAAAAAATAAAAAATCATCTATACACAAGGTAAAAAGGGTAAAAGAAAAACTGTTTCAAGAGCGTACTATGTGTCTGTCCTCTCATCGATCATAGCTGTCAGCCAATCAGATTGCGAGATTACGCTCTGTTATTGTTAAATTCTTGGGCTTCATGTTACGTCATAGCCGCCATGTTGGTTGACGATAACAGAGCAGTCCTAATTAGCTTCTCTTGTTAGATCAACCAACATGTCAGCTGTTCATTGTTTTTTATTTCTTATCGGATTTTGAGTCATGTGGTTGCACCCCAAGAATGGGCCCTTCCCATTCACCGGAAAAATACTGAGATTGTTATAACTATTGTTTTACTCGGTCGTAATAAATAAATGACTTTCTTTTTTTTTCTCAAGGCTATGCTAGAACAAAGTAAAGAGAAAAAGGGAAAGCCAATTCCTATAGAGTCAAGACGGTGCCCATCAAAACCTGATTCGAAAACAGCACAACCAGCACTTCTTAACTCACCACAGCCCCCACGTCCAGAAGCACCTCAAGTTAAGATGGAAAATCAAGTAGCGTCTTCTTTGAATCAAGAAAGCAATGTTACAGGACAAATTCAACAGAGTATTCCTTCACATCCGAATACACCACCGTATCTTTCACCTTCTGTGGCACCGATGGCTCCTTCGCAGCAGCTGTACCAAGAAATGATCACCTCCACCCAACAAAGTTGCGTCACATCTGCGCCACCCTTAACCATGAGTGGCTCTGTATCCCCTGCCACTCCCACGTCTTTTACCCCAACATCCCCAATGGCTATGTTTGCACAGCCAAATGTAGATGCATTACCAGGCGGGAAAGGGAGCCGAAACATGAAAGGGAAGAAAACCAAAGAAGACAAAGAAAAAGAGAAGGAAAAACGAAAACAAAAGCTTTTGATTCAGCAGCAACAAGAGCGCCAGTGGAAATTACTTCAGCAGAAAAGACAGCTAGAGCAACAAAGGCAACAGCAACAGCAACAACAGGAAACGAATCAGATGCGTCAGGAAGTTAAACGATCTCAACAAGCCAAAGGATTAAGAGCACTCGAGGATAAAAAGAAAAAGACGCCGCAGAAACATTCAAGAAAGCAATCCTTCAGTGACTCGCTAAGCAATGTTAGTAGCGTCAGCAGTGAAAACCTTGAACACGGTTCAACATGTGATACCCCGTCTCAGCATTCACCAGCTGTTTCAATACATAGCGATGATTCACATTCGTTAACTAATGCACCTCCCAGAGATTCATCACAAATAGATTCATCACTTATGCCTGAAACCATCAGAGAAAGAAGAGGTTCCCTACCTAATCTGGCTTTATCAAGTCATGGTCTTGAAAATATGAGACCATTGTCACCTCTAAGTAACTCCAATGACGTAACTATTAGAAGACCGCGTTCTTCAAGTCAACAACTTCCACAAGGACCTTGGGATGAGTGGCGTAACGAGATACCACAGCAACAAGATCAAAGTAGTCCAATGTGGTGGGATTCCACATTGAATACGCAGGCACAGACTATCAGTGATCCAAAGCCACCCAAATATTCTAACCCACTGATTGCAAGACAAAACTCTCGGCCGCAGTCATTGGATAATAACTATATGCCACCACATTCTGCTTCAGAGCAGCCCCTTCAAGAGGGAGCTCGACATGAAGGATTGAATCTTTATGTTCCTCAGGATCAACAAAGACCGTCATTGACGACAGGCCTTCCACAAGGCCCTAATGAGGTGTTACCTCCTCGTGACCACTCTCAAGGTGACATGGGAGAAATGCAGTTTCATCCTCAGGGTATGATGAATGATCAACAAATGAGAAATATGGACTCGCAGCAATCGCTTGCCCATAAGCAACCAGATATTTCTCAGTGGCATCCTGAAATGCTTCAGAACCATTCTCAAGCTGGTGCTCAAGAACAAATAGGTGTTGCACAGGGTATTCCAAATCAACCCAGTATAATGCCCCAGAATCAAGGACAACCAAAATTACAACATCCGGAACTTCCTCGCCCTCATCCATATGACTTCCAACAAAATTGGCAACATTCTTCTTCTGGTCCAAATTCCATAACTCTTCAACAGGCGCCACAAGTAGAGCAAGCCCCTACGCAGCAACACGTTCCCATGCAACAAATGGCGATGCAACCAATGACATCGATGCCTAATTCTTTACAAAACCTTTCCATACCACACCAGCCTATTCATCATGCAGCTGGAATGTCACAAGTTCCCATTCAGCCAGCTCCACCACCTCCTCCTCCACCACTGCCTCCTTTACAGCAACCACAACATTCGAACCTTCCTATAGCAAGGCAACCACCAACCGACGAACAGCAGCAGCAACAGCAGCTTGAAATGCTGCAGAAGCAGCAAAGGGAGCAACTTATGAGGGCTCAGCAACAGCAGTACTTGCAAATGCAAATGCAGCAGCAACAGCATTTAATGCAACAACAGCAACCCGCTGCAATGCAACCTGCCTTTGCTAGGCCACGCATGAATCCAGTTGTTAACACCAAGGATTTGCCAGAAATTGACAGCGAAGAAGAGCATCAAGAGAGGTTGCGGTTTTTGTATAGACAGCGTCAGTTACAAAAGCAGCAGCAAATGCAGTTACAAGCTCAACAGTCTTTGTTTCAACAACCATGGCAAGGGCCCGGTTTGATGCCAGGCTTGATGCCCCCTGATCTATCGAATCCCCAACCAATGCCACAAATGGCTCAAATTCGCCCTCAACCTTCAGATATAATGCAACAACAACTCGTAATGGAATATCAAAGGAGGATGCAACAACGTCAGGAACTAGGGCAGCAGAGTCTTCAGTTTGACAAAGTAGTACAAGACCTTCAACAACAACAAGGAACACAACAACCAGTACACCAGCCGCTGCCCCCACCTTTTCTAGAAGTTTCTCATCAACGACTTGCTGTGAGGCATCCTGCTCCAGCAGTTCAATCTGGAATGGGACCAATTGCACCTGGTCAAGGTCCAGGTCAACTTCCAATGGTGGGTATGGATGGGCAGCAGCTGTACAGAATGCAACTACAACAACAACAGATATTGCTGCAGCAACAACAGCTCCAGCAGTCTCCAAGAGTGATCGCACAAAAACAGGCTGCACAAACTGCTTCTGCGGTTTCAAAGGAGAATGTACCTGAAAAAGAAAACAAGACTGCTGCTTCAAATCAAGACAATGCTCCAAAGGAATCATCGAGTAATCCATCTGGTCCTGTGGTAAGCGAAGACGCTTTCCAAAACAGTAACAAAGACGATGAAAAAGAATCTGAGCAATTAGGTGGGGACTCTGTGACCATAACTGGTAAAAATACTCAAATTTCAGATAATTCGAGCGAAGCCTCAAAAAGTGAGAAGGTGGTTGAGAATATCGATGATAAGCAACAAATACCCGAAGCTGAGCAGAATTTAGAAGACAGCAGTGCCAACACTTCAAGTGAAATAGCCCTAACCAAAGATGCAAACAGTCCTTTAACAAAAGACAATTCATCTGAAGAGAATGCCGAGGCTTCTGAAGGAAAAGAAAATGACGGAAAAGATGAAAGCAAAATCAAGGAGTCTGCCAAAACGAAGGAAGAACCAAACCGATCAGTTCCGGAAGGAGAAAGTGTTATGAAAAGCACAGGGCCACCTGACGAGAAAAGTAACACTACTGAAGAATCTACTTCACAGCAGCCTGGAAAATTATCCGAGCAGATAGAAAATCAAAGCAAGACAGAAGCTGAAGGAGTTACTGGAACAACTTGTCCAGAGAAACAACCTACGTTGAGTCAACCATCTTTGCCAATCCAATCGAGAGCTCAAGACGTAACGCTTACTCAACAAATACAACCTCTTTCTTTGCCTCAAGCTCCAATACCGAATCAAAAACAAGCACTGCACCAGCAATTGGTGGCTCTACAACAAAGGTTCATCCAAATGCAACAACAACGTCAAATCATGATGCAGCAGTACCAACAACTCCAACAACAGTTGCAACAAAATCAAGATCCAATCGTTGGTGGACAGTTAATGGCTTTACAGCAACAAGGCCAGTTTCTGCAACAAAACCTGTTGCAGGTCTGGCAGCAAATTCAAATGCTCCAGCAACAAATTCAAAATTCTTCGAACATTCAGCAGCAGCCACAATTGCTTCCACAACCACCGTCATCTGGTCCTGTTCAAGGTCAGCAGTGGCCTCAGGGACCTACGCAAGAACAGCAGAATATAGCACAACTTGGTTTGACCCCTCCTCATCCAGGAATGATGAATAATCCAGTTGCTATGCATCCACCCTTGCCAGGACAGGTATCAAGCTCACCATCCCCCAATCCGGTAAGACCATGCTTTTATTTTGACCTTTGCTGTATTTGTTCATTTCAATTCTATTTCAAAACAGATATCACAGCTACTTTCTTTTTTCAGGGCAAGCCAGCACGGAAGCAGAGACGATCTCGGGCAAAAAGTAAGGATACCCTTGCTCAACCGCAACCTTCTGTTCCAGATTGGATGAATCCACAGCCAATGCCAGCAAAACCTGTAAAAGCCAAAGGTAAAAAAGGAAAAAAGCAACAAGAAACGGCAGTGCAAGATCCTGAAATTCAACTCCAACAACAAAGGCTAAGACAACAAATTTTGCATCAAATGGAACAACGTCACCGCTTATTACAACAGCAACAGGGTTCAGCTGGGGGAGCTTTGACTCATCCTGATATTTCAGGATCCCCTCGTGAATCTGGTCCACCAACTCCACAAACCACTGATGGGACTCCTGGACATCCAATGGGACAATCACAACACCCTTTTGGTTCAGTATCCTCACAGTCTAATGTGCAACAGCCTAATGACTCGATGAGCTTTTCTGGCTCTCCTTCCATGGGTATCATGACTCCTGAGCAGATAAACTATTCAACATCGCAGCTAATGAATAATACGCTTGCTTTTCAAATGAATCAACCTCAGCCAAATCAACAGCCTATCAACGCAACAGCTAAGAAAACTGAATTGCATCCAGCACCTGTGCCATGCTCACCTAAACCCCAACCTATGCCTCATACTCCGGGGCCACCTTCAGAGCCGTCAAGTCCATTTCTAGCAGGTAGACGTCCTGACGAACCACCAAATCCACATGCAGTCCCACCAGATGAATCTTTTACTCAGCGTTTTCCAAACTCTGATCGGTTCCTTCAATTTACGCAACAGAAGGTACGACTCAAGCAACCAGTTGTTCAATATGTAGCTGATGCCAATAATCCGTTTAGCGATGATTTCCAAATTCAGAAAAATCTCAAGGCTGAAAAGGCTCAGCACAAGAAAGGACTGATAAAGAAAGTCATTAAAGAAGAACCCCAAACAGCCGCTGTTAGTGAAGTCCATGCAACTGACGTGCTTTTGCCGGAGAAATTACCAGACTTTAATGCTTCTACAACTGTATCGGATGTTCAACAGACACAATCATCTTTCGAAGATACTGAACCCGCTAAAATTAAGAAAGGTCCTAAAACTGTTGTTTCCTCAAAGAACGGCTCTAAGATAGCTGTACCATCCAACTGTGATTCCAAGCCAGAGAGAAGCGAGCATAACGACGACCTGAATAAACATGAAGTCATATCGGGTAACAGCAATGAAATAGCCTCGGAAGACACTGTCACAGAAGGAAAGAAAGGGGTGTCCAGTCAAGCTCTACAGCGCTTGGAATCCATGGTTGCGGATATGGCCAGTGAAGATGTCTGCGATGAGCAAGCCCAAGGAATCAACACCAGTGAGTTGTCCTATGATCTTTTCAACGAAAATGACGATGAAGAAGTGGCTAACCTTTGTAGTGTGGCATCAATGGATTCAAATATGGAAGAAAACCACCACCAGACGCTGTCGTTGTGCAAATCAAGTTCTCAAGCTAATTCTGTTGCATCTCTGGAATGCCACGAAGAGGTTCCATCTTTTGTTTCTCCAACACAAGATGGTGATAAACCAGATGGTAGGGACCGATCTCAAGAAACTTCACCGATCCCTCAGTCTTCGGATCACAACCCTAAGGTATTTTGTACTCCTGACATGGATGCCAATTTAAGTAGTACATCTTTGGCTGATAAGAAAGACGCAAGTGATGAACCTCATGACGCCATTCAAGATGAAAATTCGTCTCATCAAGAACCTGTTACGCATAACTCCGAGGATGCACCGAATAGTACCGAGGCTACCGTTCCAAATGAAACAATAACTGTAACAAAAACAAATCAGACGTTGGCATCCTCGCAAGACATAGACCAACAGTGTCTCACTAGTTTGTCCAGCGTACCCGAACCTTGTACCGTTTCGTCTTCAATCCCTCCTGTATCCGATGTACCATCATCATCCGTTGCCTCTGGAGTACTAGGTGGTCACTTAGCGCTACCGATGGAATCGACACCAACTGAAGGAGACATGGCCATCTTCAGGCAATACAATTCAAGTGCAGCTGACGTTTCTTTCAGTATGAATCAACCGATTCAAGTGATGACTTCCACCGAGTCTACTGATCATGGGGCCATGTTGCTTTCTGGTAGGGACCCTATGCTTGGGGGAGTTAGCCCAATGTTGTCTTCCACTAGTTCGTCGTTAAGTTCAGTGTCGCTTACTAAAAGCACTACGAAAACGAGACCGAAGGCAAAGCGTGGGAAGTCGGACATCAAGACCCAAGAAATGCTTAAGGAGGAAGATTTGATCAAAAAGTCTTTACAAGAAGCGCGTCGCCAGGAGTACGAGCGAAAGAAACGAGAGTACGAGGAACAACAACGGAAAAAGCGTGAGCTACAAAAGGAAATGCGTCAACAAAAAGCCAAAGAAAAGGAAGAAAGAAAGCGCCAGCGAATCTTGAGTACTTCAAATAAGATAAAAACAAAGGTTAACCACGTTCAAAAAGGGAAAAAGAACGAGGCAGAATTAATCGCAAGCACCAAAGAATCTTTACCTCTGTGTGAACCAAAGCTTATTCTAACGCACGCCCTAATGCATCCGTACGGAACTTCACCTTTCAATGGACAGTGCTCCCTTAAAGGATCATTAGGCAGAGCTCATATAGACAACAATCTTGACTATTATGCAAAGTTTCCATCTCCAAGCCTTGATTTAGTGTTAAAGGTGAATAATCAAAAGCCACTTATGAACGGTGACATTGATAGCAAAGATTTCCATAAATTGCGTGAGGCAACTGATTTGCCGCATAAGAAACCTCGCTACAACGAATCTAAAAACGAGGTGGTTCCTGGTGTTGTTGTACCGGCAAATGGACAATTATTGGCAGATTCTTCGTGTTTAAATTCTTCATCGTCGTCACCAGAAACAATACAGTATGTTGCTTCATCTTCTCCCGAATCAGATGCCATCAACAAACCCCAAACTCCAAATTTTGCTGCCCTGAACGAAGCCAACAGAAATGATACTGAATCTCCTACCTTTTCTCCCGTGACTGCAGTTCAAATCAAACACGAACAGATGGGTTCATCTTTGTTAATGACAAGCTCTTGCAGTGTGTCCATGCAGTCTAGTACTTCGGCTTCTTTGGACTTGGGAAAAGCAAAGGATCATCAAGCGGAAATACAACGTAGGGAAGGACCTTCTTTAGGCTTAGACCAAGGCATAGACGATTTAGATAGTATTAACGTCACTTTGACACTTTCTCCTTCTTCGGAAATGCGTGTGTCAGAAACAGTTGCTTCTGTTGCGGAGTTGATTGGTTGTTCTCCGCCACGACCCTCGGACATTGTGATCGAGCCCAGCTGGAAATCATCTGGAACAATTACCACCACAGCTCCTACGTCGTCTGCGGGAATAGCTTATCCACAACCTCGAACTGTTCAAGGTCTTTCTGTGCTATCTCCAAAAGAAGGAGATACTGTACAGAAATCACCTTACCCTTTTTCACAGTTCAATTTAACATCAAAGGCGACCTTACAAAAGGGTTCTGATGGTCCCTACTGTAGACATTGTGACGTTCTTATTATTGGTATTGGCGTCATTCGAGGACCTGATTCGAGTGCAGAGTTGACCTCTGAATCGTCCAGTGATTTGCCCGAAGTAAAGGTCAACGAGTCCTCTGAATTGGACGGCTCCAATTACAAAATCTATAGCATTAACGTGGATGCGAGCGAGAAACGAGACTGTTTCTGTTCTGAGCTTTGTTTAAAGCAATACTACTCCTTATTAGAGGCTGGCCGAACACGTACCAAGATGGAGACTTCGGAATCTGAATTACATTCCAGTAGTTGTGCAACAAGTGGACCAGGAAATGTCACGACTGATTTACGGCAAGATGACCGGGGTTCGTTAGTAGCAGAAGGCTTACCTGTAACATCAAGGGTCAAACTAAGGCGGCCAAGCTGGAAAGAGGAGCAATTAGATGAAGTAAGTGTGTTGGTATTTGGTTTTGATAAGCTGTTCCATGAAGGTAGCATGAACCTGCACAAGAGCTAAGTTCGTTGTTGTCCCCTACCCCTTTGTCCCTTGAGCGAGGGTTACCCTACCTTCGTGTAAACTGCCAGTAAATCCATCTGCAATTCATCAGAATCATTTATCAGTCATGGCCCCCCTCCGGCAACCATTAGTCGCTGTTTATTCAAATCACTTCAGACTTTAGTGTTGCATTTGCTTTGCTTCAGGAACACGAAATCAAACGTCGACGGGAGATCAAATGGAGAAGATGGCAAGCTGAAGACTTTAAACAGAAAACAAAGCAACTTGACTTGACACCCAAGGAAATTACTGAGGTATTTTATACCGGCATGTTAAAGCGTGGAGAGGTCTTGCTTTTTATTTCCTTATAACACGAATGTGATCATGATTTTATCAATCCATCATGATATCCATTTTTAGATAAGTTTTCCGGATAAATTTTCTTGGGTTCTCGTTTTTTTTTTTTTTTTTTCCTTTTTTT